AAATAAAACTTAAAAAAGGGCACAATTTTCTTTTTAAACCTTGCACTACCAGAGAACAAGTACAAATCTGAACCAGTGAGAGGTTTCAGATCACCTTTATCTAATCTCCAACAAAGCATTTTGGCCAGCACTCACCTTCACTATGGAGACCCCTGAGCCAATGTTCACCAGCAAATAAGGGAAAATGTTGGGGTGGTTTGTCTGGAACCGGAATTCTGTGTCTGAATCCTTCTGGTAAGCAAACACCTCGTGGGGGATGTTCCTCAGCACAAAGTTGCACCCCTTAATTAAGCAGGTCATTACATCTTCCTTATCAACTCTGAGAGGGAGGAAAAAAACCTAAAATAAATGTTCCAGCCCTCCTGATAAGGCAGTTTGCTTTTGGAGCAGGAGTTTGCACCACTTTGCAGAATTTTCATACCCTGTGGCACAAGCCCAGCTCCCTGGAAACGTGATCCTCCCTCTGCACATGGTCTGGTGCTCCCCTCCCATGCCAGAACTCCAGGCTGGAGTTCTATTACACAGTAACTTTAATCATGTTGTCATTAAAAATAATCCTGTTTGCTTGTTTACACTGCTCTTTTCCTGCCCTGCTCCTTTCATGGTCTGTGCACCCCTGCAATAAGTAGGTCAGGAAGCTTAGCTGGAAATTTACCTCAGAAAACAATTTCCCAACATGGAATAATTGTCTATTGCTCTTCCCCTGCCTCCTAATAAAGCACAAAAGGCCCCTCGACATTTCAGCACTTGTTCATGACAGATTCAAGGGGCTGGGAGGAGCCTACAGCTGGGATTAGCAAACAGAAACAGACTTCCCACAAGAGTAGCAGGATTCTCAACAGGATATCCCCAGTGTGGAGTCTGGGGATAAGTCAGCTAACACACACTGACTTCTGTGAACTTCTGTGTCTCTGCATTGTTACTGATTTATAGAAATTCTAACAGGAAATATCCTGAGGCTCTTTGGAAACACATAAACAAGGCACAAACTCATCTCAAATACTCTAAAGTTATTTGTGTGCTCCACCGCGGAGAAGCTGCTCTGGTTTGGAGCTGGGGAAAAGCTGAGTATGTCAGAACCAAATAAAAACCAAAACGAGGTGCACCACATGAGATAAGAGGGGAAAGTGCCTCCTTATCTTGATCAATTGATCATTAGTAACAGCCGATAAGGTACTAAATGGGGCTGGTGTGAAATAAAGAGATAACAGAGCCCAGCTTATCACAGGAGAAATAAGCAATTTGCAAGGACAATGTAAAAGATTAGTACAGGCCCTCAGGGCTTGAGGAATCTACTACACAGATCACAGCACAAGAGGTGCCTTGAAGCTCTCCCCAGTGATGTTTAATATTGGGGCAAATTAATGTTTTTCTACACTTACAGCATAGAAAGTGTGAATTTATAGGCACCACCATCTGTGGCTTTGATGGCTTTGTCTCTGTATTGATGAGATGGCCTTTGATGACATCTAGGCAGCTTTCAGTGTAAGTTTTTAGTATTTGGGGTTTGATAATGGTGCTTGAAACAGTAAATTTTTGGAGCTGCCTTCTGTTCTCCTGCAAGCCTTTGCATGAAGTTTAGGTAGGAGCTGTACAATAAATGACTGTCACATGAATTACCTCTGAGCATGCCCAAGAAAATACAAAAGCTTTTGGAGTAGGTGGAAGTTAATTCTTTACAGAAGAAAAAGCAGTTCCACTTACTTCAACCCCAGTTTCTTCTCAATAAGGTCTTTGAATTTATAGGCACCACCACCTGTGGCTTTGATGACTTTTGTCTCTGTATTGACAAGATGGTCTTTGATGAAATCTAGGCAGGTTTCAATGTAAGTGTTTTCAAATTTAATGAAGTGAAGTCGAGCTGTAATCTCCTCCTGAACAGATATTTCATACAAAGGTTCATTGTCTATGTCCTTTAAAAGAGAAAAGGATTTCTTAGAAAACATTCTTGTACTGAGCATCAACATTTGTGCTTTTCTTGCCCTTGAAACTGTGTTAATGTCATTAAACATAACTCCTCAAGCTATGTCAAAGAAGAATAGAATTTCACAGGTCTTAATTCTCCTTAAGCTGAGATAATCAATTCTCCCATGCAGCTGACTGTGCAGGAAATCCCTCTGCATGAGGAAACTTATGTCTGCACGGGAGCAGGCTTTTTTCACAAAAGTATCACACTTACTGTCTGGAAAAATAAATATTTCAAACAGTACCTGGTGATACAAACACTTCCCAAAAAGTTTTATGTAGAACAAGTTATTAGATGGGTTTGAATACCATTTCTGCTCTACCCAGTCCAGAGCTTCACTCCTGTGAGTCAATCACAGGCAGCTGATCCCTGGTGGAATTCTCACCTTTCCAGAATGATCAAAGGATCTCACTCTTGCCACTTTGTGCTGTACAGTTGAGTAATAAGCCAACTTGGTTAATGAACCACCTGTTCATAAAGAGATGACAAGTTATGATTAATGCCTCACCTTGGAGCAAATAGAACTTATGTTTATGTCAGCTCTTGGTTCTCCAGGTTTCCTCAGTTAAAGCCAGAGAAAAGTAATGGAAATGCTGAAAGAACCTTTGCTGAGGAACTGCTTGGCCTGGTTAACCCCCAGAGCATCACAGGAGGGAAAACTCCATAAATTCAATTTGTGCCTGACCGATGTGGGATGAGGATGAGCAGTGGAAATTCTCAATCAGCCAGGCCAGTACATGTACTGCTGTTATTCACCTTGTTTGCAAACTTTATGAAACCCCCCAAATCTGTACAAGGATTTTCCCAGCTGGCTTGCCACCACTGAGCAATGCCCCCCATGTGCACAGAGTATTTCAGCAGCAACACCTAAATAATATTCTCACCCTGCTTTCAGGGACAAGTCTGCAAACTCATGGCTGGTTAGAAAATGACCCTCTGAAGTGAGTAATTACTTTGCAAGACTGGTCTTGGCTTTGGGGTAGAGAATGCTCAGAGTGATGTTTCTCAAGCACACAGCAGTTGGAGATGTTAGCAATGTGCAAGTCTGAGCAGAGCAGCCTCATCACCCCCTTCAGGCCTCCAGTCTGCTCATGGCAATAAAACTTTCAACTCTCCCCTTGAAACAGAATTCAACTCCTTGCCCTGTCTTTGCATCTGACCTGCAAAAGTCAGGATTTCTGGGGTTACACTGAATAACTTCAATGTTTTCCACCACAGTGCTCCAGGTCTGAGGGTAACTGTGATCCACTATTGGGTTAACATTAAAGTCCTGAAAGACCTGGCAATGTCAGATCCTAAAGAATGGCTAATTTAAGTGCCACTGCACTCTGCTGCCTAATAAAAAGCACGAGATGAAGCAGCAGAGGTGAAAGATACGGTCAGCTCATCCACAGAGCTCAAATATTTTTGTTAGGAAAATATTTGCAATGTGTAGGAAAAAAACAGGCAGTTTACTCCAGGAAAACTTAAGTGAGGTCAACGTAGAGTGACCACAGACAGACACAGGAACAAAAGCAATAAAGCTTCCCTAACCTTGGATCTGATTTCAGTGTCCCAGTCAGTGCTTTGAAGTTTCTGGTAAACAGAACCCAGTTCTGCTAAAAGGTGAGGGCTTGCACAGCTTTTTATGGGAAAAATTCCCTCCACACCTCCAAACTGAATGTCAAGTTCTTTACACCGACAATGGCACAGGTGCTGCAGGAATTCACCACCAGCCCCATCGGATGCAGAGCCACGCTTGTGCATTATCCCCTTCCTCTCCCAGTTTTTAAAGACTTAAATCCATTCAGAACAGCAGCTGAGACATGTAACTGGGTTTTATAACTAATCCCACGACTCTAATTCCGAGCTGACCCGCACAAAGGGCCAGTTCCAGCTGTTATTTTCACAGGCGTGCAACCAGCAGCTCCTGAGGGGCTGAAGGGACACAACATTTTCCATTATGCTGCAGATTTTCTTCCCACTGTCCAGCACACACAGCAGCATTCTCCTCAGCAGTAATAGCTTGCTTTTCTTTTCTTTTCCCTGGCTTTCCTCCTAAGAAGTTCTGATGATCTCGAGGCCGCGAAAGGGAAGGAAAATGCGTGAAATGGCACCTGTGGCTTGGTGGGTGTCCACAGGATCCCTGCACGGGAGGAACTGGGAACAGGCTCAGCCTGTCCCTGCACAGTTCCCGGCTGTGGCGGGCAGGTGTCACCCTGAACGCGTGTCACCCTGCCGGGTGTCACCCTGAACGCGTGTGTCACCCTGGACAGGGGCTGGGAAAGCGGCGATGTCGGCTGCTGGGGCGTGCGCACAGGGCAGCGGGTGTTTTTGGGGGGACTGAGGCAGCAGTGACAGACCCCGACACACGGCAAGCCCCGCAGCCGCCCTGCCCTGCCCGAGCAGAGCCACAGCCGCCGTGCCCGGCGCTTTTTGCTTCTTCCAGGCCGGTTCGGGAGCCGGAGGAGCGCCCGCAGCATCCCGCGGGCCGCGGCCTGGGCGGGGGGCGGCCGAGGGGCTCCGCACTCGGGGCTGGCGCACCGGGGCAGGGCCCGGCGCGCTCTGAGGGGTGCAGCCGACACCCCCCAGCACCGCCGCCCCCGGCCGGTCTGGCCGAGCCCCCCGGGCTCTCCTCCGTCCCCCCTTGGCCGCCAAGGGCAGCCCCGGCTGGGCCGCCCCGCCCGGCTCCCCGCGGCCCGTTACCCGCGCCCGGCCCGCCGGGACATGTAGTGCCTCTCCTCGCCCGCGCCGCGCCGGCACCCGGCGGCGGGACTACAACTCCCGTCGTGCCCCGCGCCGGCCCCCGTACCGCGCAACGCGCTGGGAGCTGTAGTGAGCCCGCGCCCACCCGCGCTGGCCCGCGCTTCGCGGGGGACTACACTTCCCAGCGTGCCCCGCGCGCGCCCGGCCCCCGGCGGGCCCCCTCACCGGGGCCAGAGCCGCCGCCCGTTCCCCACCGCCGCCCCCTCCCCGCAGGCTGCCCCCGCCCGGTTACCGATGTCTATGGCGAAGCGCTTGGCGTTCTCCAGGTTTCGGAAGATCTCGTCGGGCGGGAGGGTGATGCTCTTGTCCAGGCTGCCGTGACCGCTGCCGCGCCCGCCCCGCTCCGCCATTTTGAACACGACCCGCTCCCTCCCTCACCCCGGCCTCATCGGCATGCAAATGTATGCGCATAAATCTGCATGCGAACGAGCGGAGGCGCGGGGAATCGGGCGGCGAGAGCGCGCTGGCCCCGCCCACCGGCGGGGGCGGGGCCTGAGGGAGTCCGCGGCTGGGGGGGGCGGAGAGACCCGGGGAGAACGCGGGAGAACGGGAGAGGAACGGGGGAGGAATGGGGAGGAACGGGGGAGGAACGGGGGGACATCCCGGGGAGGGGTCGGTGAGACCCCGGAGAGAACGAGGGGACATCCCGGGGAGGGGTCGGTGAGACCCCGGAGAGAACGGGGGGACATCCCGGGGAGGGGTCGGTGAGACCCCGGAGAGAACGGGGGGACATCCCGGGGAGGGGTCGGTGAGACCGCGGAGAAGAGGATCGCAGAGAAACCCCCGGGGAGGGCAGAGAGATCCCCGGGGAAAACTGAGGGGGAACGGGCAGAGAGACCCTCGGGAGCAGCGTGGGGGGACAGGGAGAGACCCCCGGGGCAGAAACCTCGGGAGGAGCGAGGGAGGGGACAAGGACAGACCCCTGGTGGGGTCGATGAGACCCTGGGAGAGGAACTTCGGGGGGATGGAGAGAGAGACCCCCGGGGAGGGCAGAAAACCCCCGGTGAAACATGGAGGGGAATGGGCAGAGACCTCCGGGGGGAATTGGGGAGAGGGGGAAGAGAAACCCCCGGGGAGAGCAGAGAGACCCCCGGGAAGAATTGGGGAGAACGGGCAGAATGACCCCCGGAAAGGGCAGAGACCCTCGGGAAGAATTGGAGAGAACGGGAAGAGAGACCCTCGGGAAGAATTGGGGAGAACGGGAAGAGAGACCCCCGGGAAGAATTGGGGAGAACGGGCAAAAAGACCCCCGGGGAGGGCAGAGAGACCCCCGGGGGGAGCGGGGGGGATCCCCGGTAGCTCACGGGTGTCCTGGACCCTGATACACTCACACAGCCACGGAGGAGCCCCACATGTGTCCCCTGTAGCCAAACCCCTGAATTTAAACCCCCCTGCGTGTTTCCAAGTGTTTTGTGACCCGGACACATCGCTAGGAATGTGAATTGTGCCGTGAGGTGACTTGGAAAACTTTATCTCTTAATCAAAAGTACTTTCTGTGTTTGGTGTCCCTGCCTGTCACAAGGGGCTGGAATTAGGTGATATTCAAGGTTCCTCCCAACCAAACCATTCCATGATTTTTTTTCAGCCTTGCAGTGACCTTCCTTGGCTCTGAATTCCCAGAGAATTGGCGGCTCGGGCGTGCTGTTATTTCTGCCTCACATTGAGAGAGCTGGAGTTTGATATTCCTGAGCTATGGAAAACAGCATTGCAGAGGTCCCGATGGACACAGAACTGGGGGAATTCGGTGTCAAATCTGAATAGCTCTGCTTTCACTGGAATCTATCTCGTGTCAATTGACCACAAGGAAACCAGCTGTAAAAACTACTTAAGAAAAGAATCAATTTGGATTGATTAAACAGATTTTTATTTATTTTTGACCTTTAGAAGTTTCTGCATCTTCTGATATTCAAGATAACTGTCATACATTGGTGCAGCTTGCACAGAACACATCATAACATCCTCCAAGGACAGTAACAAATTCCCATTTTCCCCTGGCAAAAGGGTACCAAAAAGAAATATAATCTATACATCTGCCTTTCATGAAAGACTTTGCTAAACATCTCTTTTATAATGGACAGCACAGCTGTAACTTTCAGTCCTATAAGGACACAAAAACGAGCTCCTGCCTTTACAAAAGGCACACACGCATCCTGAACCTCACAAACAGCCCTGGCTCGTGAGCAAGACATCCCGAGGAATTTCCTCTACATTGTTTGGGATAGGGTTTAACCATTCTCAGAGCGTGCTCAGCACAGACTAGAAATATTATAGAACCCCTCGTGGCAACCGTGGGAAGGCCGGATTCCCAAATGTGTCCAGGGAGACACATTCCAGGTGCGGATGCGCTGGGACCCCGAGGAGCCCCAGAGGACAAGGTTTTTGGGAATTCTGAGCGTCCCAGGGGTTACAGCTTTCCCTGCAGAGCTACAGGGACAACCTCGCAGAGGTTGAGAACAGTCCTGCGAGAAGGGGAGCTCCCATCCAGCAGAGCAGTGACCTGCAAAGGGGAAACATTCTTCCCTACTCATGAGAGGAGCGAAGGCGACTTGTACAGCAAGTCATGGTCTCCTCTGGAATACGGGAAACGCCCAGAAATCACGGGATCGTCGAGTGCCGGTGCCTGCCGAGGCTTTGGCGTCGCTGCTGCTATGCAGGGAGGCTGAGGCTGAAGGAGCCGAGTCCCCGGGTGCCGCCCGTGACCGCCGGGAGCGGCAGCTCAGCTCCCCGCGGAACGGAGGGACGGGAATTGCGGAGCCGCTGCGGGGCACTGCCAGTGCCAGCCGGGATCATCCTGCCAGGGGCTGCGAGGGCTGAAAGGGCAGCACAGGAGAGAAGTGTTACACGGGGAAGCGCCGGCTGGAGTTTCCTTTTCCCAAAGGAAAAGGCAGGGAGAGGGACGGGGGATGTGATGGGCAGCGCTCACCTCGCCCGTACCCCGGGTCGCTCACAGCCATCCCCCCAGGATTTCGCCTTTCGCCAGCTCGGAGTTGGGCTGGTGCCTCTGAAATCCCTTCTGCAGACAGTTCCAGCTGCTGTAAATCCCATCCGAGCTGGAACACAGAAGGGGAGGTGAGGAAAGGCGAGCAGCGAGGCTTCCCCTCCTCCCCAGCTCCCACCGCCCCGGGGGCGCAGCCCTTCCCGGCTCTCGGGTACTCACCCTGCGCTCCCTCCGGGCCGTGCCTGTCCCGGGAGCGAGCAGCGTTATCCCAAGGGCTGCTCAGCTCCGAGTGGGCAAGACAGCCGGGATCTGCCCTATTTATACACAGCGGCCGCATTACAAAAGTCTGGGTCCGGAGCGACTCGGAGTTTCCCACAGTCGCCAGCCAATCCATGCGTGCCCGGGACAATGGGAAAGCATCCATTACAGCATGGCAAATTGCCTGTGAATTGCCTGGGGATAATACCCCGCTCCCAAAGGAGCAGGTGGGCTGGGGAGCGGGGCACACAATGGGTTTGGCATCGCGGCGCTGGGCAGGGAACGTGGGAAAGCGTTGGCCGGCATTATCATCCAGCTTCTGCCTGATGCTGGGGACGTCAGCATCTCCATGTGCTGCCTTTTCCCAGGCTGGGTTGGAATTAAGCACAGAAGACTGATCCCAGGAAGAGATAATGCCCCAAAGAGAGGTTGAAAAAGGAAAGATGCAGAATTAGAGGGACTAAACCCTTTCATTGACATTAAACCGTGCTTAGATGAATACAGTACCAGATAATTTTCAAGCAACGAGGGACTAAAATCGAGGGAAGAGCCCTTCAAACAGTTAGCTTGAAATATTTTCCTCTGTATTGTTTAAAGTCCCCCTGTAAGTTATACCCAGAGCTCTTCCTTGCTTTTGTTTGGGTAATCTGGGTTTTCCTACAGCAGCTCATGACATGTCATGATTGTGATGTCTTTCCCAAACATGTCCTGTTTAATTTCATGCCACTTTGTAAATGCCTCGCTGATCCTGAGTCTCCACTTAAATATATTTCCTGTTTACAGACAACTGAGAGGGAATGAAAAGTCAATTCTTGACTATTATTTTGCTATATTATCCATTTTCAGGATGTACCACAGGTGTGAGGCCCTCCTGTGACTCTGCTCAGTCTTGGGATTTCTCACCTCTGTAATGAAGGAGAAAGGACCAGGCAGGATCCTGGATTGGAACTGCCTTGTAGCAATTTTTTTTTTTTTTTCCCCCAGGCTGTTTTAAGCTGCCAGCTCAGGTCTGCTGCCCCCTTCCAGCACAACCCAGTACAAACCCAGTCCTGTTCAGGATCTGTCAGTCAGGCATGGGAGGCCTCATGCACTTTTTGAACACCTGTTCCTTGCAACTACAACACCGATGAAAATCCTGCTTATTTCTTGTGTCTGCTTTTCAAAATCAGACAGGAAACCTCTGATTTCCCTGGCTGTGGAAACCCAGGGCACCAGGAATATTTCTCTGCTCTGGGGTGCCCTGACCCCCAGGAGAGCACTGATTTTGACCCTCATTCATGGAGAAAACTTCCAAAGCCTCAAGGTAAACCAGAAACCACAAAAGTGTGAAATAGATTGGAGAGATTGTAGAGAGTAGTGGACTATGTCACATGGGTGAGAAATTTAGCTTTTAGGATTTTTAGGGTGTTATAGATGGATACAAGATGGAGGATACAGGGTGTTGTCTTGAGTTCCTTTCTTCTTTCTTTTTCTTCCTCTTTCTTATTGGGTTTGGGTGGTATCTTGTAATTGGGCAGAAAAATCCGCATTGTGGGTCTTCAGGGGTCAGTTATTGGGTTAGAAAGGGAAATAATTTAGGTGTCATTTCTTAATTGGGTAGCTTAGTTTTGATTAGGCTTAAAAGGCCTTGTAACATGAGGTTGTTGCCATTTTTGTGCTGTTTTTCCTGCACACAGAGTCTGGTGCAGACAGAGTGCTGAAGTTTTGATAAATTAACAATAAACAGAAGTTGAAGACCCAAAAGGTCCAATTTGTGTCTGCTTGTCCTGGCACAGAACTGCCCCAGGAGGGTCTCTGGTTCCAGACACAGAACTGCCCCAGGAGGGTCTCTGGTTCTGACAC